TGAATCCAATCACAATAAATACTACACGGAATCAATATTTTGTAGATTCCACGTCTAGGGTAAGTGGTGGCAAGCGGCTATAGCAGTATACATTGCGGGACATATTTACATCGTGGGGACTAGCTCGTACCTTGAAGCTTCTTTGGCATATTTCATTTGCTGCCTGCTATAACCATAACCCCTGACTGTTTCTTGCTGCAACTGTTACTTTCGATAACTGATATCAATTGGCATTTAAAGCCAGGGCAAGTTCATTGCGTAACCAAAGAAGCAATGGTTATGAGCACTCTGAATCTATTTTTCAGTTTCCACCAGTATCTTTGGGTTAGACTGAACTTTGAGCGCAAATGCCGTATAAACAGATCATTTGTGTTTTGCTCCATCGCCATGTATAGTTACATACTGATTGCCAAGGAGCGAGACAATCTGAACAAATTAGCAGCTATTTGAGCGCCCTACTTGTTCCAATTTGGAAACCGTTGGAAACGCCTTCTTTTTTTCTGAAAAATGTCTATGAAATGGTAAACAGTGTTTTCAGATAAAGGGTGATCTAAACATTTAATCGAAGTTTTGTCTTGTTTCTGTGTAGAAGTCTCTTCAGAACTTCTTTCTTAAGATTTTTCTGTTAGCTTGGATCTATATAGTTTTATTTCGGAGACCTTTGCGTCTGCCTCTATTTCTTTCTGCTAGAAATTGAAATATTTGGTTATTGATTACCAACATGATTGTTACTTTTGGGAGAAAAGAATTCATTATACAGAGCTTTCAGTACGTTATATTTAATGTCAAACTCTTCTTGACAAACATTAGATAATAAATTGCTAAAGGATCGCATTTGTTCTATTTTTCTGTAGATGTTAATTTGGTGTCTGTTCGTTTTGAAAGGAAAAGCATCACCAGATGTATTGATTTGTGTGTGTGTGTGGGGGGGGGGGGGATTTCACGATTTAAAGACCACTGATTTTTTGCAGAGCTGAATAGTCTGTGTGGACTTTCGAATCAAAATTTTGAGCAGTATCTATGATAAGGCTGTTTGAAGTCTCGTGGGTGGTATGGTTTATGATTTCTCCGGAAACGTTAATATCGTTCATTTTGTTTGGATATATATTGAGCTATCATCATGTCAATATCGTTCATTTTGTTTGTTTGTTTGCCTATATATTGAGCTATCATCATGTCAATATCGTTCATTTTGTTTGTTTGTTTGCCTATATATTGAGCTATCATCACTAAGAAGATTGTTATCTCTTTGTGAACCGATATCAACTGAAACAATTAACCAACGATTTTGGATATCGGATTTTATGACGGCCTTTAAACCATATGTCGTGTTTTTGGTCATTATGTGGTGACACCGAAGTTCCATTTGTTTTTAATAACTGCAGTTACATTTACCCATGCCTCTTACAACACCCTTACTCTCCAGGAATGTCCTAAGAATTCTTTAGGCAAATACGGACAGTCAAGCATCTTGTTGCAGGATTGTGCAAATTCAGAATGGTCAATTGAATTTAATAAAACGTAAAGAACAGATTTATCTAGCTTTAGTTTCTTTGTCCTAACAGACTCGTCATTTAACTTATTAGGGCCGTATCTTTTATTCGAGAGGCTTAGGTCTGTTTTTATATAAAAAAAATCGTCTTCTTCATTGGACCATTTTAAGCAGTGAACCATATAATCAAAATTTCTCTACGTATGAACTGCACAGAGCAAAATGGTTTCAGACAGTATTCAATAAAAGATCTGTCCACGATGATTGTCCTGATATTCTTGCAACAGTGAGAATTGATGTTTAAGAAGATTTCCACAGCAGCGTTTAAATATTCTTTCTTTTCACTGGAAATGAATGACCATGCCAGAAAACGACCATTTACGTAGTTATTTACCCACCGAATACATAGCCAGAATTACTTTATTTTTGTCCAAAGGATATAACTCTTCGCAATAACACGTTTTAGTCGTATGTAAATGAAAAAAAAAGGAAAACATGAATAACTAAGTAAAATTGATACCGAGAGCAACCTCGGTGATATTTAAAGAATGGATTTAATTAAGAATACTTCTACTAGCCTGAAATATATCAGTAGAGCAAAATTCTGTCTTCAATGGCAGCTAACCCCCGCCCCCCAACTTTCGTGATATTTGTATAACATTATAGTATAACAATGCCAAATCTAACGTTAGGACGTTTATTAACAGATGAAAGATTAACGTTAATTATCATAATTTATAAATCAGAATAATTTAGGGGAACTCATCTTAGTGGCCCAATCTGACGACAGCTTTTCCATCACAGCAAGTTTAGCAATATGGTTGCCTTTTCTTCTAAAACCTTTCTATCTAATTTTCCATTTTTATTTACAGGGAAAGAAACCATCTGCAGGAAGTACTTGGGCTAGGCTATTTTAGCATTCGAATCAAAAAGAGTAGCCATGACCTACCTTGTGCACAACAGTGCTCGATTCAACAAGTCGAAGGTACTTACACAGGTAAGTTGTGATGTGGACTGAAGTTAGATCCCGTGATATTATTTTTTTAAATAAAACTTTTTAATCCTGTAGATAACTGGTTCGTGACATTACATGCATGTATTTTAGACAGAGTTAAAGTAGCCAAGTCTGTAACTCAATATCATCCAAAGTCTTCGACATTGAAAACACGAATTATTTGTCAATTTAAATCAACATTGATGTTGTGATATTACCGGGAAAAGATGGTCCTCTGATATCAAATATTTAAAACAAAATAAACATTTTATCATTAGTACACGAATCGTGTACCACAATGCGTTTCAGCGCCATTTGTAACAAGATACTCGAAGAACGAGGCTAGACATATTCCTCAAGTTATCAAACGGTGACGTCATATTCTTATTTGCTACTACTACTACCTGGTGCTTTAATGCTTCCACAGAAGAGGTATCGCAGACTATTTGGAGAGTATGCGCAAAAAATACTAGCGGTGTAGACTTGAATGACCAGACGCTAGAGATTGCCATTCGATTGAGACTTCTGGTGTATTTCAACGAACATAACTGATTAGAAATTATAGTAAAAACAGAAACGATTGAATGTAAATCAGTTTGTATACATTCATATTACATTATTATATGCGTTGCGACACATTCGTGTAAATTCAATTTTTAGGTCCAAAATATTTAGTCCGGTCAAATTACAGTTTAACCCCCAAAAATTGCAACAAAAGGTTTCTCAACTGATTCTGGTAGGGTTTAGTGTACTTTTAAATGTTTAAATAATTTAGTTCCTGTTTACCTCTCAGATCTTTTAGAACTTTATACACCTGGCCGAACATTACGTACATCAGATAAACTACTTTTAAAGCCCAAAACTGTTCAACTAGTCTCCTATGGTCAGCGCTCTTTTAGTTATCAAGCACCTGTTTTATGGAATAATCTACCATTTAGTAGATGTTGTACATCTCTGTATTCTTTTAAAAAACAACTTAAAACACATTTATTTAATCAGGCTTTTAACTGACTCTGTATACAATCGTTAACATGTCCATAATCTTGTTGTTTATGTGTGATTTACATTGTCACTTTGTAAAGTGCCCCTGAACATGTTATATGAAAGGGTGCACTATAAATATGCTGTTATAATAATAATAATAACATACTATAAGTTTACCAAAGTAGGACCCCGGAAAAGTGGGGTTTTTTTCAAGATGGCGTCAAAGATGGCTACCGAAATGTCTTAATGATCATAATTATGTATCTATCAACTCATTAAGATCATTAAATATGATGCTGGCCTTATATGTCAAAAATGGCCACCAAAACCTCCAAATGACCGCAAGTCCATAAGTATTGACCCAAATTTGATGATCTTGATGCCTATACCCGGGTTTTATGGCGCAAGGAACATATTAAGAAAACTTTGGATGTCACTGAGCTGTCCAATCATTACGAAATTGAATTCATGACCTTCAACTGTCCACTATCACCTAATGCACAAACACCCCTGTCCATAGAATAAGTTTCAGAGCGTTCAGTTTTGAGTGTCATCTTCCACCTCAGTATCGACCTATTGAGTGTTGTTTGAATTGTCACAATTTTCAGTTTGACAGAGGCCACATACAGCAGTGTAGGGGAGTCCATAGCGTCTGCAGCTGCATCGAGAGAACTTGGACCCCACCCCCACCCCCCAAACAGTTGGAATGGATAATTTTCAAGAGTTCGCCAGGCACAGCATTGTTTTGGGTCATAATTGAAATTAACTGATCATTTCCCTGTTTCCACCCCTATTCAGTTAGGTCACTTTCATTTGCCATCCCCGTCTTTAGCATAATTTGAAAGTACACACGTTGGCTATGAAATCTTCTTGCAGGTGATGTTGGGGAAAGTCGCATAGGAATGACAGATGCTTCAGCAGTTGCCACTTTCTTGGTAAAAATAATATGGCACAGTGATGATAGCGTATCATTCGATTTGCCACCAAATAGATCAACCATCAGGTCTTTGCCAAGATCTGATATGTCCTCTTGAGATTTGTTTTGAAGGATGAATGCACTAGCACAGGACTTCATGACAGGACCAGATTTCACTACTTTCCGGTAGAGAAGATTAGAAATGCATGCAAAGCCCGTCTAAAACAAGAAAATACTCATCGCTATCAAATAGATTGCAATCTTGTAGACAAGGTTTACATCAATCACCCTTCTATCAAAATATGCAAACTCATCACGAGGCTTAAAACAATAAACGTAGTCAAAGACTACACCTATACACCAATTAAATGCCCGTGTGGACAAATTGCAAGCACCTCACACCTGCTAATCAACTGCAATCAATTAAACAATGAACGGCGATCAATGATTGACAAACTGATAGAGAGGGGAAAAACCCTCTGTCTCAACTCTCTCCTTTCTCCACAGTCTGAAGATAGATACTGGACATCTTAGTTGGTCTGGGACTTCATTGAAAATATAGGCATGACCAAACACATAATAATAAAACCAATCAATTAAAACACACACGGTCTTATCTGGAGAGCATGCGCAATAAATACTTTCGGCATAGACTGGAATAACCAGTCGCTAGAGATTGTCATTCGATTGAGACTTCTGGCGTATTTCGCCGAACATAACTGATATGAAAAACAAAAACGATTGAATGTAAATCAGTTTATATACATTCATATTACATTATCATATGCGTTGCAAACTATTTTTGTCATTTTCTAGGTATTAAATATTAGCGATTTAGCATTGTCCCATGACTTCTTTATATTTTAACCCCATTCATAATAAATATTGCCGCTACCTACATGGTGGTTAGGTTGGACAAAAGGCAGACCTTTATTACAACAGTAAGTTTAAATATACACAGAAACATTTAGGTATAGTTTTCCAGATGAATGATTATGGTAAACTATTATAACCTATAAGGGGACTTATCGTGGTGGCTCCATCTAATTTGATATATTATCCATCACAATACGTTTAGCATATATATAGTTCTAATTTTCCAGATAAACGATTAACGTAAATTATTAGACCCATTAACGTAAATTATTGTAATTTATATATCAGAATAATTTAGGGGAACTTATTGTGGTGGCCCCATCTGACTTGATATCTTTTCCATCACAGTAAGTTAAGCAATTTAACCGCCTTCTCTTCCAAAACCTTTCTGTCAAATTTTCCATTTTTATTTACAGGGAAAGATTCCATTTTCAGAAAGTACTTAGGACAGGCTGTTTTTGCATTCGAATCATGACTGACAAATGTCTTCCTGCAAAAATTATTTACGTCCTGGGGGCAAGTATCGGAACTTTTTTCAGGAATATAGCAGGCACAAATCTCATTTAATAAGGCTTCATCTGGAACTTTAACAACCCGGACATCGGCTACTCCTGGACATCCTCCAATAATATTCTCAATCCAAGATGGATGGAAATAATTCATTCCTCTCATAATAACGTCATCAAACCGTCCCCGTACAATTAACTCTCCCTTTTCTGTAAAACATCCATAGTCATTAGTAAGATACCAACCATCATCTGTAAACTTCGACTTCATCAGATCATCTTCGTCTCCAACATAACGTCTACATATGCCAGGTTTATTAACCAAAACTTGTCCATAAGCCCCAGTAGGGACATCCTTCAAATGTTCATCAACTATCTTCACACTTACCATTTCTATTAGCGATCCGGTATTAAAATCCTCGAACCCGGATTCTTGGTCAATTTTCTTAAGACTCACGCTCCCAACTTCTGAACTTCCATACATATTATATACCGTCTTAGTTAACGTACCGATGACCGCCAATATGTTCCTTTTCAGTGGTTGACCAGCAAGTAATACCGTATTCAAAGGAATTGTAACGTGACCAAGCGATTCTCTTTGAATTAACTCTGTCAACTCTAGACAAGATGCCGCTGATAATATAGCAATCTGACAATTTTCCTGCAGAATGATATCTCTAACAAACCGAATATCAAGTCCTTCATCTGATTTAAACCTGCGATCCAGTAAGAATGTTTTGTCCCCATACGTTGTGTACCAAAAGGGTAGTCCTAAGCCCCAGGTAAGGCTGTGCTCGTGAAAAAGAGAAATACTTGAACCCAGTGCGTGCACTGATTCTGATATAGATCTGAGGCATAATTCAGTACTACCAAAAAATGCGTGGCTTAACGGGATCAGTTTTGATACGCCAGATGTACCCGAAGTTTGCATGATAACTGCAACATCGTCGGTACTGATTGTTAGGTCTTCAACATTAGAATTATCTGTGAGTTCCACCCCTTCTTGCCAGATGAATCCTAGTTCAGTGCCAAGATTCAAGTTTGTGTAGATGAAATTCTTCAAGTGAGGCAACTTTTCCGAGGTAACGCAATTCCCAGTGACGGTATCAAAGTGTTGAGATATGATTCGATTAGCCCGGTCATCAGGATTCGAGGACAGAATTACAGCCCGACATTTTGACTTGCGGAGATTTTGTAGAAGATATGTTCCATCAGACATTTGGATGGTTGCGTTCTGGACAGTACAGCCGGCACACATGATTCCAAAGAAAGCGACCAGAGCTGCAGGGGAGTCTGGGATCATGCTACAAACAACACTACCTGGCTCTACTCCAATCTTTAACAAGTGACGTCCAAACTCCACTGAAAGGTCATACGTTTCTTTTGATGTTAGAACAGCTTTGGGTTTATCCTTAGCAACGTAAACAAAAGCTGATGCGTCTGGCTGTTTGTTGGCCCAGTATTTTAAACGCTTTGGTGTGGTATAAGCTTCATAAAGAGACTGCATCCTCAAAAACCTATAAACATAAAGCAAGTCTTGGTGACACAAATTTATAATAATTCAACACTGTTCTAGAATCTTGCGAGTTAGCAATGACCCCCCACCCCCCGGCTTCCGGTCTGCGCAAACGCGAGTTTCATAATGGAGGACCAATTCAAACGTATTTTGTTTGTTTTTGAATCCCAGAATTCTGCTTCTAGTGTTGAATTATTATAAATTTGTGTCCGATGTGGCTAGAAATGATTCTTTTTAGCGGCAAGAAAAGAAGAATAACGATGAAAAATAGACGTTAAGGATTCCAAATTTCAGCCCAATAGGAGTGAACGGGGACAGTGAAGGGGCATCGTCCGATCAGACACCGTTCCTGAAGCAACTACTTCATCGTATGGGGCGCCATTATTTGAAGGGTAGCCACTTTGCGAATATATTCAAACTTATCTTTTATTTTCCACGTATTTTCAGTGCTATCAACATATATGTTAGTGGCATGACTATATTACAGATTTTGTTGTCATCTTGTTATGGTGATATTGACAAGATGGCAGCCAGTATTAGCGGGAAAATGGGACGATGTTATGATATTGATGATTACGTGGTGTTTAGTGTCAGTATATAGGCTTTCGGGGCCGCAGATTCCATCCCTTACACATATTTCCAAGATGGCGGCAATTTGTAACTGGACGTGTTCTAAACATATTACTGAAAAACGTTCTATTTTTATATTATTAAACTTATTTATTGATTTGTTTTTTACAGGCTTCTCAATCCAATTCTGTTATGTATAAGCTTATAACCGATACCGTGTCGTAATATGTTCCAACGACGAATATTACTTATTCGAGTTGACGACTGAGCTGATATCGAGTTTCTCGGAAAATAGCCCATTTACTCGGTCGATCGCGATATCGTCCGGACTGAACTTATGACTTGGAGGCGTCAGTTTCATTGTGAGCCCTTCACAATGTTGTCTATCAGTTATAGATACAAAACTGCCGCTGTTTAAAAATCTGAGACTTACAAAGGTAGTTTGGAAAAGGTAGTTAATGAAATATGATAAAATGGCGAACATGTGATCATTTTACACAGCTGTAAATGGAACTTGTGTCCCTAAAAACATATATATTGACACCATACAGACACGGCCCCACAAGCCTATGTGACGCCCCCCCCCCACCTTCATCTAAATAACTAGTTTTTAAATCAACTTAAGTAAAATTTGTATGTTTATTTCTCGTTCAATCCTCCAATTGATCAATTCTATAATATATCTTTCATAATTCTACCCTCTCTATTTGCTTAAATATAACCTGGTTTAGACAGTATTAGGGGAAGCGAAGGCCTGTGATTTGCTATCTGCGCTGTCGTTCCTAAAACATGGGGTACAACAAACGGCTCATGTGCCGACCCTCATTTTATCTCGCGTTAGGAAATCATCGTCTCCGACTGTAATACACTATTATTCATGAGGACTTGTTAAAATCCCTCACTTATTTGGAAAGGCAAACGCCGCGGTGAGGAATAGCTTCACTTAACGTCCGCTTTCACCTTAGTTGATGCCACTGAATCACTCTTTATGACTTCATCACACCACAAAACTAAGACCCGTATACCAATACAGACAATTTCAGTAGTCAGTGATCTGAACACTGTCTACCACGCATTTTTAGCAAGAAATCTTCCGTCGTCGTATATCGTATTTTAAAGACCCGATTAACTCTTTGAAAATGTGAGAAGCGGGTCGTGTTTTATAAGTACAACTAAAAATAATTTGATGTGAAAATTTAATACAAGATTACAACAAACATTGTGTGGCTACCTTTTTACTTTCAAATATGGGCATTATTATTATTATTATGAATCCCGTGTAAGGTTACCTCATCCTTTAATTAGAGCCTGGGCTGTGCAAGTCTACGTTTGGTTGCTAGGACACCGTTTCCGCTGGGAAAAAAGATGGCCATGCGGTTGACAGTTCGAGGCAGAATTTGACTTTGTTTTGATATGGATCGCTAGGTAGCGGTTGAATCTTTTGATATGTATTATAATTGTATACATCGATAGTTCCTAAACTAATCACAACCGATGTCACGATGTCACGATGTCATGATGTTTATATCGGTCCATGTTGATGTCATTTGACGATGTCTTGCCAGTATTGATGTAATGTTGATGTCATGATTGTGATGATGTACATTGCCGCACTGTTCATGGATAATAAACTTGTTTGATTAACTCTATCGTAGTGTGCCGATATATATATAAGCACATTGAAGTTGTGATTATGCAAGCTGTCGATTGTTCAAGTTTTTAGTTTTATGGTAAACTGTCATCATGTCTGAAGAAGATAAACAATGTGACATTTCTCATTCTGACGGCGATAGTTCGTTTGGTTCGCAAGTCAGTCTTAAAATTTTACAACATAAAGAAAAGTTGGCTCTTGCACGTTCGAAAAGGCAACATATTAAACAAAAAATGGAAATGTCAGAAAGATTAACCAGGTTAAAAGCCGAAGAAGAATTATTAGATATTGAATTTGAAGAACAACAAGCACAAATTAGTTTAGAACTTTATGAAAAGGCTGATAATGAAAAGGCTGAAAATGAAAATGAAGACAGGAAATCTGATGTTTATCGTGATCGAACATTACTATCCCCTAGGCCTGATAATTATAAATTTGAGTTTACTTTAGATTCGCCAGAAAAAACTTTCACCAGTGATGACATAAATTGTTTTACACCATGTGTAAATCGAAATTTGCTTCATGGTCGTAGAGACTCTGTGGTTATTGATATAGAAGGACCTGTCAATTTATTTGAATCTCCAAATTTAATTGTTAAATCAAATTGTAATAATTTACCTGTTGAGCACAATCCTGCATTATCAAATGTTATACCTAATGTAACTCATGTAGATCATGATTATTCTATTGTAAGCTTGCCCATGTCAATTAATAATGCTTATTCATCTTATCAACAAAGTGTAGGTAGGTCTATGTACTGTAATACTACTAATACTTTACCACAGTATAAATCTGTAATTACTGCTAGGGAATCTATTGTGCAACCTGATACTAATAGAGTGAGTTTATCTGTTAATAATCATGCCTTACCTCGAACAGATGATAATAACATATCGGTTAGTACCGTTTCTTCCATGTCACTGCCATTTAATAATTCTGCTAATTACTTACCTATATCTAATAATTTGTCTTTTTCATCAAATAATATGTCATCCATTCCATATTATGATGCAAATTGTAATATGTCTGCATGTAATTCGACAAATTATAATTTTATACCTACTTGTACCATTGATGGTAGGCCTACATTCACAAATACTTCCATATCTTATAGTAGTAATGTGCCAATCAGTCATGTTGTTCCCCCACACTCTAGTCCAAGTTCTAATTTAATTTATCATGTAAATACTGATAGGCAGAATAATGTGCATACTTACCCTCAGAATAATGTTTCTGTTTTTAGAAGTGATGTTTGTGATAACACACAAAATACAACAAATGACTTAGTACAAAAACTGTGTCAGGTGGTTTCGACTCCAAAGTTGGAATATATGACATTTAATGGTGATCCTTTAAAGTTTATTTCTTTTATGCACAACTTTGAGACTCTGTTAGAGACTAATAACCCAGAGGAATCACGTAAATTACAACTTTTAATTCAGCACTGTAGTGGAAAGGCCAGGGAGTCCATAGAATGTTGTGTAAATTTACCTGTAGAGACAGGATTTGAAACAGCTAAACGAACTTTGCGTGAGAATTTTGGTAAACCTCATGTTATTGCAAAAGCCTATATGACTAAGTTAGAGAACTTACCTGTTATCAAGACCGCAAATAGTACTTTCCTGATGGAATTTGTTCGTAACTTGGAGATTACTAATAGAACACTATCTGGTATGGGAAGAGACTACATGAATGATTTAGATCACATGAACACACTGAGGGACTTGAATTCTAAATTACCTATGTTTTTGAGGGCTAAGTGGACGGAAAGGGCTGGTAGAATCCTTGAAAATGGTTCCAGACCAAGGTTTATAGACTTTTTACATTTTGTTAAAGAACGAGCAGTATTAGTTAACAACGAGTTTGGGGAAGACTTGTCGAATAGTTCCAGAGAGAAGAAATTTGATAGTTCGTATTTTAGAAAACCCAGACCGATGGCAACTCTTATGGCTACAACGAGTTCGAATGCAGCTTGTAAGATGAATTCAAGTCGTCCCAACATTTTAAGATCCGGTGCTGGAAATTTTAGATCACCATGTATTTACTGTGCAGGTAGGCATCCTATTTGGAAGTGCAGTCAGTTTATAGATCTTGACAATAGAGGTAAAGGTAAAGTTGTTGGTGACCTCCAGTTATGTTTTAAGTGTTTAAATAAAGGACATTCGATTAAATTTTGTGATAAGTCTGGATTTAGATGTCGGATTCCTAATTGTGAAAGGGATCACAATACTTTGTTGCATGATGTTAATTTGTTTAATTTGAGCCAATCCAGTTCCATTGAGAAGATAGAAGATTCCAAGAAGACCTCCAGTGTTGTTACTGCTGCTGCTGGGGCTGGTGAAAGGAAGGTTTGTCTTGGAGTTGTTCCAGTTATTGTTCAGAATAAAATCACCAAGAAAGAAGTCACTTCTTATGCTTTGCTGGATACTGGATCCGAAATCACTTTAGTCTTAAAGAAACTTGCTGCTCATCTTGATATTGGTGGTGAGATTGATCCATTTACTGTCACAGGTGTTACAGGATCTAAGGAAGTTGAAAGTGAATTAGTCGATATAGTCATCAAGTCTTCAGATGGAGATACATCGGTTGATTTCAGTGATGTTAGAACTGTACCATCATTACCAATTCCCACCACTACAATTCCAAGGATGGAAGATTTACAGAAATACTTACATTTGAAAGATATTGACTGTCCTGAAGTGCAGTTTCATGAGGTAACTGTTATTATTGGTGTTAAAGAACGGCCAAAACTTTTTATCCCTTTAGATTACAGAGAAGGTGGAGAAAATGAACCAGTTGCTATTAGGTATAGGTTAGGCTGGATTGTTATTGGGTCAGTTGATCAGCCACGAGATTTTAATGAGTTTTGTTTTAATTTTGTTAGCTCTGTTATTAGTCATGAAGAAACTGAAGTTAAAGATGATCTGAAGGAACAGTTGCAGAGATTGTGGAATACAGATTTCAAAGATCTAGAAGTTGAAAATAAACCAGGTTATTCAATTGAAGATAAAAAGGCTTTATGTATTATTGAGGATGGATTAAAGATTGTTGATGGTCATTTTCAAATTCCATTACCATGGAAGAGAATTCCTCCTAATCTAATTAATAATAGAGCTATGGCTTTGAACAGATTAGATGGATTATCTAAGAGGTTTAGAAGGAATCCTGATCTGTTCTTTAAGTACCAGACCACAATTAATGATTATATTTCTAAGGGCCATGCTGAGAAGATTCCAGAGGTGGAAATTGATTTAAATGAAAGACCCATTTGGTATTTACCACACCATCCAGTAACCCATCCATTAAAGCCAGATAAAGTTAGAGTAGTCTTCGACTGTGCAGCTCAATACCATGGAACATCGCTTAACAGTCAGTTATTACAAGGCCCAGACTTAGCTAATCACTTGTTAGGAGTCTTATTTCGGTTCAGACAGGGAGAGATTGGGTTTATAGCTGATATTGAGGCTCATTTTCACCAAGTTAGAGTTGAACCAAAGGATTGTGATGTATTGCGATTCCTATGGTGGAGGAATGACGACATTAATGACGTTGTGGAAGATTATCGGATGACCAAACACATATTTGGCGCCACATCTTCACCTGCTGTTGCTAACTACTGTGTCAAGAAATGTGCTGAGCTTTACGGTGGCGACTTCGATCCTGAAACTGTGAAGACCATTATGAAGAATATGTATGTAGATGACCTGATGAAGTCAGTTGATTCTTTAAATTTATCAGTTAAATTGTTCCACGAGTTGTCAAAGTTGTTATTTACTTGTGGTTTTAGGTTGACTAAGTGGTGTTGTAACGATCGCAAGTTTTTGGAGAACGTTCCAGAAAAAGATAGAGCCAAGTCTATTGTTGATTTGGATAACCTTTTGCCCACTCAGAGTGCTTTGGGATTGAGATGGGATACCGAATCAGATGTCTTTTCATGGGAGGTCAATGAGAAGTTGTTGTATTCGTTTGAGAAGGTTACAACAAGAAGAAGTATTTTGTCAATTGTTTATTCATTATTTGATCCCATTGGGTTTATCGCTCCATACATTATGAAGGCGAAGTTGTTGTTACAAATGTTGAGTAGGAGAAATCTAGGTTGGGATGATCCTGTTTCTTTGGAAGATAAGCTTCAATGGTACAGATGGTTAGAGGATTTAGATAGGTTGTCTGAAATTAAGGTTGATAGGTGTTTGAAACCTAAGGTATTTGGTGTTATTGGAGAGGTCCAGTTACATATATTTTGCGATGGTTCTAGAGTTGGTTATTCTGCTGTTGCATATTTGAGATTCATAAATTCCAGTGGAGAGGTTCATTGTTCTTTTGTATTTGGGAAATGCAGGTTGGCTCCTATTCGTGAGGTGTCTATTCCAAGGCTGGAATTATCGGCTGCGGTTGTTGCCGTGAAGATGAGAAGAGTTATACAGGAAGAATTGGAGTTTGTTATAGAGAAGACTGTATTTTGGACAGATTCGTTGTCAGTTTTAAAGTGTATTAATAATGATAGTAAAAGGTTCCATACGTTTGAATCGAATAGATTAACAGTAATTCATCTTGGATCTAAGATTTCAGAATGGCGTTATGTAAATCGGGATTTCAATCCTGCTGATGACGGTTCCAAGGGGTTAAAGTTAAAGACCATGGTGAAGGACAATAGATGGATTAGTGGTCCAGAATTCTTGAGGGGGAATGAAAGTGATTGGCCTTCACCCATTGTTATTCCAGAATTGAAGGATGACGACCCTGAAGTTCGGAAAGAAGCAAAAATTTATGTTGCGTCAGTTGACAAGGATGTTATTGATGATTTGATTTTGAGGTATTCCTCCTGGTGGAGATTGAAGAGAGGAGTTGCCTGGATCTTAAGGTTTAAAAGATATTTAAAGTTAAAGGTTTTAGGACAGGGGTGTCCTAATAACTTTGAGGGGTTTTTAACGGTTGGAGAGATCAAAGAAGCCGAGTCAGAGGTTATCAAGTTTGTTCAACGGAGGGTGTTTCCCGACAGCTTAAAGGCCCTACGTCATGTTAGCGAGAGTTCTAACCCTTCGAAGATTGATTCATCACTCCGAAAGCTAAATCCACAACTTTTAGATGGATTACTGAAGGTTGGAGGAAGATTAGATAAAGGACCTGTAGGTGAAGATGTAAAACACCCAGTTATCCTTCCGTATAAACACCATGTTACAGATTTGGTTATTAATTCACATCATTTGGAAGTCTGTCATTTAGGTCAGGAATCGGTTTTGTCTTTCTTGAGGCGTAAATATTGGATCGTCAAAGGGAGATCTGCTGTCCGTAGGGTTTTACGGAAATGTGTTGATTGTCAGAAGAGATCCAAACGTTGTGAGGAACAGTTTATGGGGAATTTGCCTAAACAGCGTTTGACACCAGATAAACCCCCTTTCTCTTGTGTAGGAATCGATTATTTTGGACCATTGTCTGTAAAGCAGGGTAGAAGTATTGTAAAGAGATATGGTTGTTTGTTTACCTGTATGGCATCCAGGGCAGTCCATGTGGAAATTGCGCATTCTTTAAATACGGACTCATTCATCAATTGTTTAAGGCGGTTCATTTGCTTAAGAGGTTGTCCTGAAGAAATCTTTAGTGATAATGGTTCTAATTTTGTTTCCGCTGAGAAAGAACTAAGGGACTGTATCAATGAATTCAACCAGTCAAGAATTTCAAACTTTTGTGTCCATAAAAGTATCCGCTGGCGTTTTAACCCACCAGCAGCCAGTCATATGGGAGGCATATGGGAACGGATGATCCGTTCAATTAGGCAGGTACTTAAATCAGTGTTAAAAGAACAGCTTGTCTGTGATGAGATTTTGTTAACTGTTGTATCAGAAGCTGTATTGATTATTAATAGTCGACCACTTACAAGGGTAAGCGATGATGTATTGGACGAATCACCGTTAACACCAAACCATCTTCTACACCTTAGGTCAAGTTCTACTTTACCACCTGGAGTGTTTGATCAAAAAGACTTGTACCTTAGAAGAAAGTGGCGTCAAGCTCAGTATTTAACAGATGTATTTTGGAAGCGTTGGGTGCAGGAATATATTCCCACGCTACAAGAAAGAACCAAATGGACTTTAAAGCATAAAAATGTCAGAATCGATGATATTGTACTTTTGGCCGACGATAACTATCCGAGAGGACAATGGCCACTTGCTCGGGTCGTTGATGTGATTACCTCGGACGATGGATTGGTTAGAACAGTTAAAGTGAATACTTCGTCATCCGTTGCGACAAGCGCCAAACGTTCCAGGGCCAGCGAATTTAAAGATGGTTCCATTATTTTAACTCGCCCAATTACTAAAATTTGTCTTTTAGAATTACACACAGACTGATTGGCTTATGTTTGTTTTATCTCTATATATATGGTAATTAGAAATGTTTGTTTAATTGACCTGTTGTATTGTTACGGTAGCCATTTGTTTAATTTTGTACATAAAAGTCTTGTTATAGCTTTTATGTAGGGGCTGGTGTGGCTACCTTTTTACTTTCAAATATGGGCATTATTATTATTATTATGAATCCCGTGTAAGGTTACCTCATCCTTTAATTAGAGCCTGGGCTGTGCAAGTCTACGTTTGGTTGCTAGGACACCGTTTCCGCTGGGAAAAAAGATGGCCATGCGGTTGACAGTTCGAGGCAGAATTTGACTTTGTTTTGATATGGATCGCTAGGTAGCGGTTGAATCTTTTGATATGTATTATAATTGTATACATCGATAGTTCCTAAACTAATCACAACCGATGTCACGATGTCACGATGTCACGATGTCATGATGTTTATATCGGTCCATGTTGATGTCATTTGACGATGTCTTGCCAGTATTGATGTAATGTTGATGTCATGATTGTGATGATGTACATTGCCGCACTGTTCATGGATAATAAACTTGTTTGATTAACTCTATCGTAGTGTGCCGATATATATATAAGCACACATTGTTAGGTGTGTGTTAGAAATATTTGTAAAAGAGTAGCCATGACCTACCTTGTGCACAACAGTGCTCGATTCAACAAGCCGAAGGTACTTTCACAGGTAAGTTGTGATGTGGACTGAAGTTAGATCCCCGTGATATTACATTTTTAAATAAAACTTTTTAATCCTGTAGATAACTGTTTCGTGACATTACATGCATGTATTTTTAGACAGAGTTAAATTAGCTAAGTCTGTAACTCAATATCATCCAAAGTCTTCGACATTGAAAACACGAATTATTTGTCAATTTAAATCAACATTGATGTTATGATCTTCCCGGGAAAAGATGTTCCTCTGATATCCAATATTTAAAAAAAAAATAAACATTTTATCATTGGTACACGAGTCGTGTACCACAATGTGTTTCAGCGCCATTTGTAACAAGAGACTCGAAGAACGAGGCTAGACATATTCCTCAAGTTATCAAACGGTGACGTCATATTCTTATTTGCTACTACTACTACTACCTGGTGCTTTAACGTCTGCTTCCACAGAAGAGATATCGCAGACTATTTGGAAAGCATGCACAATAAATACTAGCGATGTAGACTTGAATAACCAGGCGCTAGAGATTGCCATTCGATTGAGACTTCTGGCTTATTTCACCGAACATAACTGATTAGAAATTATAGTAAAAACAGAAACGATTGAATGTAAATCAGTTTGTATACATTCACATTACATTATTATATGCGTTGCGACCCATTTGTGTGAATTCAGTTTCTAGGTCCCAAATATGTAGTCAGGTCAAAATACAGTTTAACTCCCCCAAAATTGCAACAAAGGCTTTCTCAACTGGCAGGGTTTAGTGTACTTTATAACATTCTAAAAGTTTACTAAAGTAGGACCCCCGGAAAAGTGGGGTTTTTTTTTCAAGATGGCGTCAAAGATGGCCACCGAAACGTCTTAATGATCATAATTGTGTATCTATCAACTCAAATTTGATGAGATAATTATGGACTTGCGGTCATTTGGAGGTATTGGCGGCCATTTTGACATAATAGGCCAACATCATTTTTAAACACCAAGATCATCAAATTCGAGTTGATAGTTCCATAGTTATGATCATTTTAAGACGTTTCGGTGGCCATTTTTGACGCCATCTTGAAAAAAAACTAAACCCTACCAGAATCAGTTGAGAAACCTTTTGTTGAAATTTTAGGGGGGTTGAGAGGGATTTAGCTCCTTTAATCTTTTTCTATGGGAGAAAGCGCCATATCGTCCTTTGCATCCAAGCTATCGATATCCAGCGTTTCGTAACCTTCTGTGTCGGAGTTAAGGAAAACCTTACGACTGTAATAGAGGTCATAGCTTCAACAGATTTTATGTCAAAGCTGGTGTGACACTGGGATAGAGGCTACAGTTTTTAACGGAGTTTTGGCAAATTTGGTGTGAATCATTGGTGTCATGAGAGAGCAAACATTATCAATATTCAGCTTTCGAGATTTAACTCGGGGATAACTCTGGTGACAGAACATTGAATATCGATTGTGTTCGAACTCTCGTAAACCCAATGCCTCACGCCAAATTTGAAAACGACTCGGGGGGGGGGGGGGTGGATGACCGAATGGTTAGCACGTGCGTGCTGTATCATAAGGCCTGCCATTGAGTCAACTGGCGTGGTTTCGAATCCCGGTTGTGCGTGACAAGGAGTAGGGTCGCCTGTCCAGACGCGTGGGTTTTCTCCGGTTCCCCTGCTAAAGACCCCTACGCGCAAGCGAATTATTGAAATAGAATTAACCATATGTTAGTCTCGAAATGACCTAGTTTGTGTCGAGTGGACGTTAAACGCCATTTCTCTCTCTGTCTCTCTGAAAACGACCCTTGTAAACCCAATGCCTCACGCCAAATTTGAAAACGATATGTTAAAAACTGTGGTATCTATCTCAGTCAGAAGTTTTCAGCTAAGGGGGCATAACTCGGGCACGAAAGGTTGCGGAACGTTGATTATCGATATGGTTCGTCCTCTCATGACCCCAATGCTTAAAACTAAATTTTTTTAACAAAAATATAGGCTTTATCGCGTTTACAAGGTTTTCGGAAAAGGGGCATATCCTCGACATCAATTAGGCGTTATCACATATTTTAAGTTTGATCTAAATCAGATAAAAATTGTGTCCACAGATTTTGTACATATTTCACTTTTTACGCCAGTGAGATCTTATGCGCACCTAAATCGAACCGATTAAAGCTCGTATTGATGCCGAACATATATTTTAGGTTTCATCTGGCTCGCGTATGGTGCATATTTTGCGTAAAAGGCAGGGGGCATAACTCAATTCTCAGTAAAAAAATATCTATAGATAAATTAGATTTCGAACACAAAAATATTCAAACAATACTTCCGGGAAACACAGCTATTTCTTTCCAGGACATCTCGTCCATCGTTGAAATCGTACATCACTGTAAGAACCCAACTAAACGCTTTAAACCTCATTAAATCATCACCAAATCTACCAGGTCCCCGTCACCCCCAAGGCAGTGCGCTATTATAGTTTTTTTTTAAAAATAATTTCTATATTATATCATATATTTTTTTTTTCGAAAGCAAGTCAACAATTGTGTGGCGTGTACATATTAAGGCCTCGGCATCGACATCATCTTATGAATATCTACCGTTAAGTGTTTGTACGTTCTTTCCAAGGGACCTTTATCTTTATCTTTCGCACCCGATAAAATATGTAAATTGAATATATATCCAGTCGTCTAACTTGTCAATGAACATTGTTTATGGAAGCGATTTTACAAAAGCAGCAATGCGTGTTATTGTATCCATATATAGTATGTAAATATATATGTGATTCATTAAGAAATAAAATATTGTTTAATAACTCAAAAACGGAAGGTTCGATGAGGACCAAAATCGAACTCATCCAAGATTTTTTAATTCTTAAGACATATTGTACAGGGGCGGATCTAGGAATTTTAAAAAGGGGGGCGCCGCAAAATGAGGGCACTGACCGCGGAAACGGGACACGCCGCTGAGAGGTTTGTTTTTTTGTTGGGGGGGGGGGGGGTCCCGAAGAAAATTATCCGTCATTTCCTTGCATCTGTAGCCATTCCAAGAGCTATTTGGCTGATATTTTCGTCTAAGTAAACGTTCGGAAATCGTTGAAAAGGCGCCTTCAAATCGAGCAAAAAAGTCAGTTGAACATACGACTCGAAAATTGTCAAGGCGAGCGAGTTATTGTTAAAATGGTATAGGCTATTTCACTCCTTAAATACGGAATATATAAAGTTGGTACTTAAGATTTAATGAATCAAGTCGAAGAAACGCTCATAGGATTTACGAACAACATTCGTCTCGGAAATTTCGAGGCATAACTGTCGATTATTTTTTGGTAATCGAGTTTTATATCCCGATGTACATAAAGAAGTACGAGGGCATTGAATCGCTCCTCGGACATCATTGAGCGGTAATCGGACTTCACAAAACGGAGCGCAGAATTCGAACGGGTTGGGAACGGACATATTTGGTTCTGAGAAAAGGCACTTTCAGCAGTAAAAAGGGGCACTGTCGAAAATTAAGAGGTTAGGGGGGTGGATCCGCCTCTGTTGTAGCCTCTAGAGGTCCAGAAAATAAGTATATGTATTACGTATTCTTTGCCAATATCTGCGTGAAGTGGGGAGGTGAATTTGGATGGGAAGTGTCGGTCCGATCACAGGAATCTGACCTTCTATCCGTATATATATACTATTCAAACAAAGTAGGGGATATTTGATTTTTAAGTGTTATTAAAGTCACCTAATGAAACTGACGAAGAAACAAATGACAAAATGAAATGAAGTTCACATTCATCGATTTATTCCAAATGATCGTTAGACTAAGTAAGGCACAGACTGACCATTATAAGGGTAAAATGATACCCGGGGTCAAACAGCAAAGTTACCACAGCATCACAACCAAGTCAGTAACGGGTAAATCCTCCTCTGTTTGCCAAACAAGCATTGATCCGACGTGGCATACTCCTAATGAGACGTCTAAGGTCATTTTGGTCCAGATTGTCCCATTCCTGTTGCAACGCAGCAGCAAGTTCTTGGACATTGGCAGGACGTTGTTGACGTTGACGTAACCTCTGTCCAAGCATGTCCCAGACATGCTCGATGGGGGAGAGGTCGGGACTCAGTGCTGGCCAAGGTAATGTGGTGATGTTCTGTTGTTGGAGGTAACCTGTAACGATCCTGGCCCTGTGACATCTTGCGTTGTCATCCTGGAAGATGAAACGGCGGCCATGACGTCGCGCGAACGGCACAACATGGACTGCCAAGATGTTGTCCCGGTAGTACTGGCCTGTAACACGCCCTGCAACAACATGTAAAGCCGTTCTTCCAGCAACAGTGATGCCTCCCCACACCATAACAGAACCACCCCCAAATCGATCATGTCTGATGACGTTAACGTCTTGGAAGCGCTCGTTTCCACGACGCCACACCCTCCTACGTCTGTCCAAAATATCAACAGTGAACCTTGACTCATCTGAAAACATCACATTGCTCCAGCGTCGATTATCCCAGTGTTGACGATCCCTACACCAACGACGTCTTGCCTGAATGTGATGATCTCTCAAACAAGGGATCACGCGAGGACGTCGGGCGCGAAGGTGACCCCTATGCAGTCGATTCCGAATCGTCTGGCCACTCACTCTCACACCAGTGTCTGTTTGAAGACGAGCGCTGATCTGATTTGCTGTGATGACACGATTTCTCAAGGCCAAGGTACGGATAAATCGATCCTGGGCTTGAGTTGTCGCCCTTGGTAGACCTGAGCGTGGTCTGTCCTGTACAGATTGTGTATCACGGTATCTGGACCATAGCCTGCTTATGACAGACTGAGAAACATTCATCGTCCGCGCCACAACCGCCTGTGTTGTGCCGATCTGTAGCATGCCAAGGGCACGTAACCTTTCATTTTGGGTAAGCCGACGCATATCAAAATTTGTTTTCTGGTCACTAAAACAATTAAACTGATGTTTCCACCCTGGAATTCAATGCCACAATGACTGTAACATTCAAAGTCAGAGTCGTGCAAATCTTGGGTTGGACCCCCATGATGATCCCAAGCAT